TGGCAACTGTTCTGTCGCGCTTTTTTTCCCTTGGTGCCCCGACTAGATAAACTTAAGCTTGCTACTACTGAACTGTTACGTGAAATCTGTCCTTCTTTACGGTAGCGAATGTTGGACGGTCACCTCAAAGACGAAGGAGAGACTCGAAGCGACGGAGATGTGGACCTACAGAAGAATGCTAGGGATATCATGGACCCAGCGCGTGAGCAACGATGAGATCTTAGAGAGGTTGCAAACAAGGAGGAAGCTTATACTTAACATCAGGAAGAGGCAGCTGAAGTTTCTGGGACATAATGAGGAAGGACAGCCTAGAGAATTTGATACTCACAGGTCGAAGAGAGGGAAAGAGAGATAAGAGAAAACAACGGACTTAAGCAAGTAGATGACAGAAGGTTGTCTGGGGGAGAAAGCAGAGGGAAGGATATATATCAATTCCCAAGAGGATAGAATCCAGGTAGAACTCAATGTCCAGGACAGAGTAAGAATATAATATAAAAGGCTCAAACACTAATATTCCATGGTTATAATTTATTACATTGGAAACTTAATCACGATCCAAGTTGAGAGCTGCAAGGTATAGAGGGAGAAGTGGAGAGCCATGATCGCCGACGTCCTGAAAGAACATGGCACATAAAAAGAAAGAAAGACTATAGTAGCATCTAGGTCCTACCTTTTTAACGTTGAAATAGGTCAATAATGTAACCGCCACTTCTGCTCCAACAGCTTCTTTTCTCGCGCTTCCCACCTGTGGAACTCCCTTCCATTTACTTGCTTCCCTGATAGCTACAATCTTAAAAAATCTAAATGCAACATCAATCGCCATTTTCTGATATCTTGAACCTCGTTCATCCTTTATCCTTTCCTCATCCTCCCCCTATGCACAGTTTTTTTTCTTCTCTCGCCTTCACTCTATATACCCCTCTACGAACCAGTAGCACCCCCGCTTTGCTTGGGATGAAATGCTTAAAATATCGTCGCTTATGAGGACGTGGATCTGCTTTTGTACTCTATCGAGGGTGGAAAGTAAAAGACTGGGCAGCTCCTGCCCATATATATATATATATATATATATATATATATATATATATATATATATATATATGTGTGTGTGTGTGAAAACTGGTTAGGTAAATAATCTAAAGTTCCTTAGTACTTTAGTTATTATTTTTAAAAATAGTGCTTGATACAAAAGTAGAGCATAAATATAATTATTTATTTAAAAATATGATTCCAACTCGCGACATAAGAGGTCTCATGTTTCAAAAACAATTCGCCCTAGCTGTTACCATGGAAATTTTGATTTCAATTTTTAAAACACGTAAATTTCAGAAATACGTTATTCCCAAAAAAATTCGCTTGAAGATGGAACAGAGCTTACTTCAACTCAATTTAATTCAAATAATTATATTGAAGTTTTCGGCTCTTGTTTTGAAATATGAGACCTCTTATGTCGCGAGTTGGAATCATATTTTTAAATAAATAATATATATATATATATATATATATATATATATATATATATATATATATATGGCAGCAGTACTCCAAGTTTTCAACACAATCTCCTCCTTTGTTAGTGCTTTTTTTAATTTTTATTTCTTTTACTGGTGTTCACCTAAAACAAGGTTCAAGAGACACTCGATGTAGAGGGTTGCTGAATGATGTTTTTTGAGAGTAAAAAGAGGAGATAAGAAGCGCTACTCGATTTATCACGTAAATCGAATTAAAAAAAAACTAGGCAATCGTAGCTCTCCAGATATTCTTTCGTAGTTATCGTCTGCCACTTGCAATGCACATTTTTTTGTGAAACATTCTGTAATGTTTTTTTTTTCCGTTGTCTTCTCGGTAGACTCCATTTCGAATCGGATGCGCGGGTGGTGGAATGTGCAGCAACCCAAACTCAGAAATCAGAGAGCCGAGTTCGAATTTTAGTCGAAAATTCACATTTCACTAACGCACAAACACCCTTGTGAAAGATATGAATGCATCTCTTTCCTCCAACTATGGGTTAAATAGTAGGACATGTATCTGTAGTAGGTATTGTAGCTTTTACAAGTATTGGGAGGTATTGATTTTTAGGGATATTGTCCCGTAGTATTCTACTAGTAATTAATTATCTATTAGTAATTATCTACTAGTAATTAATTTGGGTGTTACTTTCAAAATTGCAGAAATATTTTTTATCGGATTTCAAAACTATATATTTCTTCTGCCTAATTAATCTATTCAAAATATGACGTCAGTTTGGTATGGGTTTTTATTTATTTATTTTTTTTATTTACTCATGTTAACCCAATACAAGAGCCGAGAGCCACTCAAGGTAGAGTTCTACAAAGTGCAAAAAGTGAAGTAGTGAAAAAATTCAGATGGAGACGTTAGAAGTATAGTCTTGAGGTAGACTATAGAACGAACTGGAGACCCAATCCTAGACAGAAAACAAAGGATAAACCACTACTTCTTTTAAATAGACCGGGGAGGAGTGTGAACCGGAAAATAGGTGAACGATTTTTTGACAAAAAATAAGTTCAGTTCAGCAGTCTTAACGGCTGCTTTGTGGAACCGACTCCCAAGAGGGTGTTTTCCCCAATCACTACAATCTTAATGCATTCAAGTCCTAATCAAATCAATTTAAAAAAAAATGGATTTAGCCTTTATAATTGCAGTAACACTGTGGGTATATATATATATATATATATATATATATATATATATATATATATATATATATATATATATATATATATACGTTCGTTATATATATTTATGTATATTTATTAATATATACTTAACACATCTGTTATTTCGCAGTGATCACTGTTTTACTTACACCAGGTAACTACACCCGTCTCGGAAAACCTTCGGTTTCTTGATTTGCTAATGGTCAAATCAATTTCGAAGGAAAAAAAGGTTTAAAAAAAAGAAAGAGCTAAGAACATGAACGTCTGTCGATCCGCTTAGGTGATACCTTGGTAGGTTTGTCTGGCTCTCTAGGTTTGACTATATATATATATATATATATATGTATGTGTGTATGTGTATGGATGTGTATGTGTGCATATGTATGTGTGTATATGTATATGTGTATATATATATATATATATACATGTGTGTATATGTGTATAGATGGGTATATGCATGTGTGCATGTGTATGTATATATATGTATGTGAAAAGTGTGTGTATATGGATATACATGAGTATGTGTATGTGTAGATATGTGAATATATTTTTATATGTGTGTTCATGGGTATATATTTGTGTGTATGTGGTTACACGCCTATGTGTATATACGTGTATATGTTATTGTGTATGTGTGTATTCGCATGTGTTTTTGAACATGAAAATATAGGTCCTTGCTGGATTAGATAATCGTTATATTTATTTTTTATATGTTTATATTTGATTTGTAACCTGTAGTCGATATTAAATTTGTCAAATTTTCTCAATTACAAAGCGGCCCTTTAAGTAAACGCAATTTTACTTTCCTTCGCCTCATCTCTCTCCCCCACCTCGTCTTTCCCTTCCTCTTATTCTAACATTAGATTGTCTATGGTGTGTGTATGTCACCACGAAATGTAACTTTATGCATTAGACATCCGTCAACATTCATTTTGTTCTCTTAATTAAACCCCTTCCACCCACCTCTCCTAATATTCTTCCTGTTAAGGTTTAATTCTGTTTTTATTTCCGGAGGTGTTTTTTCTGTTTTCCTTTTTGAATTTGTAGGTCTGATGAATTGGATCGTATTTACGATTCCAATGAAATAAATTATGACCATGGAATATTAGTGTTTAAGCACTTTTTTTTATATATATATATATATATATATATATATATATATATATATATATATATATATAAATTCCCAAGAGGATAGAATCCAGGTAGAACTCAATGTCCAGGATAGAGTAAAAATTTAATATAAAAGGCTCAAACACTAATATTCCATGGTTATAATTTATTACATTGGAAACTTAATCACGATCCAAATCATTAGACCGTTACTAATGTCCACCAATACATGGCCCGAGATCTACTCAAGGTAGAGGGTTATTGTGTGATACTGTATGAACGTAAAAAATAGTATTTTGTATTGTTTCTTTCATTACTAAAATATCTTAGGGAGTCACCTCCTCTCATTATATGCACATATTTGAGAGATATAGAGAGAGAAAGAGAAAGAGAGACAGAGACAGACAGAGAGAGAAAGAGAGGGGAAGGAAAAGAGAGGATCAGAGAAAGAGAGAGAGGAACAGAGAGATGAGAAGAGAGAATGAGCCAGATAAAATGAATAAAAAAAGGCAATATAGATTGATTGATTAGTTTTTATGGGTTATCAAACTTTTGCGGGTTATTTAAAGCCGAAGCATATTTTGGATTATAAAAATAATTGCATTAAAGACATTTTGTAGATAATAATGATTTTTTTCAAGATACGAGTCATATTATTTAAGCCATAGCTGGCGGGGAAAGAAATGGGTTCATACCTTTCCCAAGGTGATTTGCGCGTAACGAATTCGATTGGAATTCGAACGCAAGAAAAACAACAAGAAAGAGAAACAGAGAGAGTGTGTGTGTGAGAGAGAGAGAGAGAGAGAGCGAAAAATAATAGAGAAAGGGAGAAAAAATATGAAAAGGGAATAAGAGAGAGAGAGAGAAAAAGAAAGAAGAAGAAGAGAGAAAGAGTAAAAGAGAAATTGATAAAAAAAGAGAATAAGAGAAAAAGCTAGACAGATAGAGAGAGAAAGTGACAGGGAGAAAGAAAGAGCAATAAACAGAAAAATAGAGAGAAAGAGACAGAGAAGAAGAGAGTAAGAAGGAGATAATAAAAAGAGAGAATGACACGAAGAGTGATATCGAGATAAATAGAGTGAGAACGAGAACACAAGATACAGAGACTAAAAGATAAAAAGAAAGAGAAAAATGAGAATAATAAATATATATATATATATATATATATATAGAGAGAGAGAGAGAGAGAGAGAGAGAGAGAGAGATTTATTAGAGAGAGTAAAAGAAAGCGTACAAGAGACAAATACAGAAAGAGAAGAAACTAATTGATTTAAAAGAAGTAATGGTTTATCCTTTGTTTCCTGTCCAGGATTGGGTCTCCAGTTCGTTCTATAGTCTACGTCAGTTATTTAAATTATAATATATATATATATATATATATATATATATATATATATATTATAATTTTTCATATAGAGAAAACAATTTATTCACTACAAAGATGCAACTTCGTTTCGGTGCATTTTGTTGTACTTCCCGTGAGTAAATTGTTGTATCTTCTCGTGAGTAAATTGTTTTTGTCTATATGAAAAAATTATAATAAATAATTATTGCTTTACTATCGACATTGAGACCTCTTTTGAGTTAATGTTGTGAACGTTAGAATTTATATATCTTTTCGTTCTCATTACATTCGGATATATATATATATATATATATATATATATATATATATAAAGAGTGAGAAAGCGAAAGACACGGAATAAGTGAGAGATAGAGAGTGATAAAAGGGATGAAGAGACTGAGAGAAATAGAAAAAATAGAGAGTGAGCACGAGAAAGGAAAAAAAGAGAGAAAGAGAAGGGAGCGATAGAGAGAAACAGATTGGGAGAATAAGGAAGAAAAAGAGAAAATAGGAGAGAAGCAAAAGGGTAATAGAGAGAGAACTAAAGTGAGAAGGAGAAGGAAAAGAACATATCGAAACGGAGAACGAGAGAGTGAGAGAATTATAGAGTAAGAGAAAACGGGGAGAAAAAGAAAGATAGAGAAGGAGAGAAAGAATGAGAAAAGGAAAAAGAGTCAACGAACAAAAAGTAATAGAGTGAGAGATAGTGAGAGAACGAGAAAGAGAAAAATAAGAATAATAAAAGAGATTGGGAGAGAAAAAAAGGAGAGGTGGAAAGATAGATAGATAGATAGATAGAGAGATAGAGAGAGACCAACTCATAAGAGAATGAGAGAGTGAGAGAATTAGAGAAAGATTTATTAAAGGGGAGTTGAATATTAACTTATAAAAAGAATTAGTAAAAGAACCAGAGAGCAAAATACAAAAAGGAAGATGTGGAGAGAGAGAGAGAGAGAGAGAGAGAGAGAGAGAGACTAACTCATAAAATAATGATAGTGAGATAATTAGAGAGTAAGAGAGAAAAAGGCAGGAGTGGCAAGAGAGTGAGAGAAATACTAACTAAAAAAGAATGAGAGAGTGAGAGAATTAGAGAGTAAGAGAGAAAAGCGGAGAACTGCCAAGCAAGAGAGTGAGAGAGAGAAAGAGAGAGAGAGAGAGAAAGAGAGTGAGAGAGAGAAAGAGAGAGAGAGAAAGAGAGAGAGAGTGTTGACACCTGCTACTATCACAGTCGACCTCAGGAGATTTAAACTCAATAAAACTGAGCGTGAGATTATTACTGAAAGTACAACAATCCGACCGCCCCACCTCATCCCACATTTAAAGTAAATCGGTAGGTAGGTCACTTGGAGGGTAGGGCCCGGGTAGGATTGAGAGAGCCACTAGGATGAGGAGGTTGAGTTGGTACGCTCTTTAAAAAGCCAAAACGCAACTTTGATGAAAGAACACCGCTATGGCGTGTTGATATTTGGCATCGGGGATAAAAGAAATTAATTACAAAACTATTCAAAGTTATATGTACTTTTATTCAAAACATAAACATCTTTTTTTTAATCAAAGTCGAAGCCAGATACAACAGCGTGCCATGGTCCTTTAGGCAGAGCCGCATACGGTTCTCACAATGGAGACATATCCATCATGCGTAGGTAAAGGCACGTAATCAAAGGGGTCACCATTTCGAAATTGACGGCGTTATTACGTCCAATTTGGTTTGAATTTAATGTCTTCTTTCTCTGACATTGACTTCTATCCAAAGCTAAAGTGCCCAATCTGCTCTTTTTATTTAAACCGTAATTGAGAGTGGTGGGGGTTGACAGATTGAAAGCAAGAGGAACAAACACACATAACCTACTATAGTGAGCTTGAGTAAATGGATGGCGCAACAAGATTTAGGGGAGATAACAAAGAGACAAAATTTACTCTGAGCTACAAAAGACGGGAAATTGTGGAGAGCCATGGTTTTCACTGGACTGAATGGACACGATACATAGAACAACAATAAGAAGCTTGTGTAAATGGTTGACAGAACAGGGATTAGGAGAGTAACTAAAATCTTTAAATTTACTAAGAGCAATAGAGGACAGGAAATCGTGGAGAGACACGATCTTCAATGTCTTGAAGGGACACGGCATATAGAAGAAGTAGCTAGTGTAACTATTGGCAGAACAGGGATTGGAATAGTTAAGAAAAATGATTAAATTTACTAACAGCTACAAAGGACAGGAAATTGTGGAGAGCCATGACCTTTAATGTCTCGGAGGGACACGGCATATAGAAGAACAAGAACAAGCTTGTCTAAATAGTTGGCTGAACAGGGATTAGGAGAGTAGCAAAAATGATTAAAATTACTAAGCTACAAAAATGGGAAATCGTGGAGAGCTATGAAGGCCAACCACCTGAAATGGACACGGTACGTAGAAGAGCAACAAAAAGCTTGTGTGAATGGTTGGTAGAACAGGGATTAGGAGAGTAACAAAAATCATCAAATTTACTAACAGCTACAAAGGACAGGAAGTTGTGGAGAGCCATGATCTTCAATGTCTTGAAGGGAGAAAGCACATGAAAGAACAACAATAAGCTTGTCTAAATGGTTGTCAGAATAGGGTTTAGGAGATATAATAAAAAGAATTATTTAGTGAGAGCTACAAAAGACAGGAAATTGTGGAGAGCCATGATCTTCAATGCATTGAAGGGACACGGCACATAGAAAAACAAGTTTGTGTAAATTTTTGCCAGAATAGTGATTAGGAGAGATAATAAAAAGGTTAAATTTAGTAAGAGTTAGAAAAGGCAGAAAATCGTGGAGAGTCATGATCTTCAATGTATTGAATGGACGCGGCACATAGAAGAAGAAGAAGAAGAAGAAGAAGCTTGTGTTAATGGCTGACAAAACAGGGATTATTAGAGTAACGAAAATGATTAAATTTACTAAGAGCCATAAACGACAGGAAATCGTGGAGAGACATGATTTTCAATGTATTGATGAGACAGGGCACATAGAAGCAGAACAACAACAAGCTAGTGTAAATGGTTATCAGAATAGGGATTGGGAGAGATAATAAAAAGATTAAATTTAGTAAGAGTTACAAAAGACAGGAAATTGTGGAGAGCCACGATCTTCAATTTCCTGAAGGAACACGGCACATAGAAAAACAACAGGAAGCATGTGTAAATGGCTGCCAGAACAGGATTAGTAGAGTAAGAAAAATTATTAAATTTATGAAAATCTCCAAAAGACAGGAAATTGTGGAGAGCCTGATCACCAACATCCTTGAAGGGCCTTCGGACATTGAAGAAGATGCCGTTGAATTGTCATTGGAAATCATGTGACATAAAGACTTCCCATTACTTCTGAACTCTCCTCGGGTTTCTTGGGGCATTTAATAATAGCGTCTGTATGGCTTCAATTCTTTAATATCATTATTATTTGCTGGGAGCTTTGGCAGAAGATCAAGTGACAACAAATCTTTTCATTACTCCAGAACTCACGCTTTCTAGTTGTTTTAATGAACACCCCCTTTTTTTTTTGGTGGAGTAAATTTCACGGTTTCATGCCTTTTTCAATTTTCAACTCTTGTCTGTTATTTCTTTCATGGAATATTTCTTTTTCCATCAAATATTTTGTCTTCTTTTTTCTTCTAATTCTTTCTCTTATTTCCAGTACAATTCATTTATTTCTTCCTCAACCTCTTCCTTCCTTCTTCTAACATGGCCCGTCTCTTCTCTTGGACAGAAAATTGTGGAAAGCCATGAACTTCAATGTACTGAAGGCACGCAACGCAGAATAATAACAACAAGATTGTGTAAATGGTTGGAAGAGCAGGGGTTAGGAGTGACTGAAAAAATACAACACAAAAAGTTCTAAGAGTTGGTAGTGTGTTGACCCAGCAAAAATGTTCAGCTGTGGCTCTTCTTTCTGGTGAGGCTTAGAACTTTTCGAACGACCCTCGTAGTAAACGAATGGCCAAACAATGTTTGGGAAAGATAACAAAAAGATAAAATTTACTACGAGCTACAAAGGACAGGAAATTGCGCAGAGCCATGATCATCTGTGTTCTGAAGGGACGCCGAGCATAGAAGAAGAAGAATTCAGATGATGAAGATGGATTCGTGACTTTTTTTAAATGCAATAAGAGGAAAAGAACTTGGTCGATATATGAACTCGCTTCGCCTACAGTCGTTACGTGACTTGGAATTAAATACTTTTATTCAAAGTTATAAAACCTTATTCAAAACATAAGGACCGTTACTAAAAACATGGAGCTTTATTTATATATATATATATATATATATATATATATATATATATATATATATATATACTTCTATTTAGCACTTTAGATAACTTATTAGATTAAGTATGAAGTTTTAGAGAAAATGGAAACAAAACGGACACTTATAAAGGGTGTTTCATTAAAACGGATCAAAGTCATCAGTAAATAAATCAGTGTTATTGGTGAAGATTTATTTATTTCACTGTTGGATCATGTTATTTAAGTCATGACAATTATGTGTAAAAAATAATATCGCCCAAATGTCCGCCAAGGCGTCGGCGACACACCTCCATTCGATGGTCAAAATCTTTGATGACGTCTCTGCATAGTTGCTCCTCGATCTCACCAATATGCTTTATTATCTCATCCTTCAGCTGTTGAATTGTTGTTGGCTTGTTGGCATAGACCTTAATTTTGAGATGACCCCAAAAGGAAGAAATCTAAAGGCGTCAAGTCGCGCGATCGTGGTGGCCAATTGACTTCGCTGTTTCGAGAGATGATGCGACCTGGGATCTTCTCATTCAATTTCTATTTGAACGTCCATTTTCGTAATAGGCTTCGATAATTTTAACTCATTGTTTGATTGATAATCCTTCCATGGTTGAAATTGCCAAAGACTTAAGTTGTTAAATCTGAAAGAAAAAGAAAAAAAAATCATTAGACGCTTAAATTTAATTCACTTTTAAAATCCATCCAAGTTATGGGATCATTCTATACTTAACATCAGAAAAAGACTATGAAATTTGTAAGGCGCATGATGAGGAAAGAGGGCTTGGAAAATGTAACACTCCCAGAACATATTCAAGAGGGACGGGGGAAAACAGAGGATAACCTACCTAACGTAAATGGCTGGCAGATCGGGGTTTATGGAGACAAAAGACAAAATTTACTGATAGCTACAAATGATAGGAAATTGTAGAGCGCCATAATCATCATCGTCCTGAAGGGACATAACACATATCAGAACTGTTATTCCAGTCATATTCAATCTGTATGCAACATTACTGAAAACATCAATACGTTTATTTAAAACCTGACTATTATTCGACGCTGTAAGTACTTGTCCTGCTCGTGTTAAATAATAGTTTAGCAGACTATTATTTTTTTTTAGAGAAATGTATTTCTGCTCTGACTTCCGCAGTTTGACCTTAGGGGTCATATCCAAGACAAAATAAAGGGAGTCGATTTTGATTGGCTGAACTAGCGTGGAAATGATAGAGAAAAATTTTTTTCAGAGTCTTACATGTCGCAGAATGTAGACGTGTTTTTCGTTCGTGTCTGGAAACGGCTTCCCCAGTGAGGTGGAAGAGCAATCCCACTGGCTAGTTAGAAATGTACACGTCGACGTGTTTAATAAACTAATTAAGATTAAAATTCCCTTTGTTGAAGTCCTCTTTTATTTCTGAACCAAAAACAAGTAGCGATCACCGGCTGTGAGAGAAGAAGGCAACGTTATTATTATAATCGGATGAAGACCGTCACACCAAGACCAACCCTACCGGGGGTGATGCAATACACGTACTGTTAACATCTCTCAATTGCGGCTCTGTCTTCGGGCAGAGAATAACTCGGCTGTGTTTCTGTCTATGTACAGAGCACAACTGAAAAAATATTGAGAGGTGCCCGGCAAGGGGGAAACAGCTTCCCGAGGCCATGCCCCTCTCATTGCACGATAATGGGGGAAGGATTGCAATACTGATGCCATCGCAACCAACAGTTGCGGGGCTGGGCTATTTTTGGTCCTGGCCCGGTTGTAACTCCTGTGGAGGGCTAATTGGGCTTCCAGTCTAAAACTAAAGGTACCTCCGGTCCAGCTTATAAAACATCAATGATAATTTTAAAGAAATAACTTTGAATTCATCACTTCATTCGATGGAACTTGAAAACCTTACTTTAACATTGATTCGGGCTAGAAGTCCAATTCCGTCCAAAAGACAATTTTGGTCCGAACGTCCGATTTGGGGCGAAATTTCAATTCAGGCCGAAAACTGAATTCTCCAAATCACAAACTCCGTGGAACTTCAAAGTTCTTCAAATCA